TGAAGGGAATGTGTTCTGAACGGTTGTATTTAAAAATTTTTTTTTTTTTTATTGCCGTCGGATTTATAATTTTTGGTACTTTTTTCCGTGCGGATATATATGTATTTATGTATTTTTCGATTTGTTTATTTATTTATTTATTTATTTTTTCTCATCGTAACTTAATTGAAACAAAAACAAAACAAAACAAAACAATAATTTTTTTATTATTTTTCTGATTCTGGTTCTTTTTACTTTAATTTTTATTAACTCGAAAGGTTAATGTCTTCGTAATTTTTTTAGTACAATTTTCAATCGCCAGACTTCGCTTTTTTTAATAAACAAATCTAAAATGGCGGCAAAAAAACGAAAACAATCCGTTGATCGTTAATCGTTTATTTATTATTATTAGTATTAGTATTATCATTATTATTATTATTATTATTTTGTTTTATTCATAAACAACATTTATTCGACGTTGTTGTTGTTGTTGTTGTATTCATTCCTCGATTTCTGATGTTTTCTCCAAAAAGGAAAATTTTATTGTTGTTATTAATAATCGATGTCGGATTGTTTATAAACGAATTAACCGTTTTTTTTTTTCTAATACCTGTTCGTACTACCGTTAAAAATTACCCGAGGAGGTGAGGGGAAAGATGGGGTGGGGTCCGGATGGGGATGGGAGGGAAAACGTGCGTAATATTAAGTGTTATTTAAAATTCGTTGATGGTAAAAATAATAAATTTTTTTCTTTTCTTTTTCTTTCTTTTTTCTATTTTTTTTTTTTTTTGCTTTTAACTTTATAAGAAATAAAAATAATAATAATAATAATAATAATAATAAAAAGAGGATGTAAAATAAAGAAGAAGAAGAAAAAAAAAAACAAAAATTTAGGTCAAAGCTTTTACGTCGGGAATATTTTTCTTTTTTACTCCTTTTTTTTTTTTTTTTTCTCCCAAATTAAATATCATAATATTTTATTCCATTTTATTATTATTATTATTATCATAATCATAATCATTATTATTAGTATTATTATTCGTTAAAAAATTTGCCAAATTTTTATTTTCCGTTTTAAATTAAAAAAAAAAAAATTTTTTTTTTTTTTTTTGGCCAAGAAAAATTGTCACACTCCGATTCCTTTTAAATATATATATATGTAGATTCGTTAAATGATAATGATAATTATTAATAATTTATTATAAAATAAACGAAAATCAAAAGTTAGTTGTTGGAAAAATAAAATGGCGTCGAGGAAACACTCGAACGTTATTAAGAAATATCGTTCAATATCGTCGTGGAAAAAAAAAAAAAAAAGTTTGTTGTTGTTGCTGTTATTATTATTATTATTATTAATTTAAAATCGTTTCCCCCATTAAAATCGATTACGGTACGGTTTTTCATTATTAATAAACTTTAAAAATTTTAAATTTAGAGAATATCGAAATTAATTAATAAAATAAAATAAAATAATAAACGTCAAAATTTATATATATATATATATATAGGGAAAC